TATCAAAAATGGCGTCCAAGGTTTCACATATCACCCAGAGACTGTATTGACCGACCACAATATCACGGAAGACAGTACCTAAAGACTAATAAAAAGAGAAGCTTGGTTGATTCTTAGGATCCCATGAAAAACAACACTAAAGTACTAAAAAAAAAAACGACAAAGCCCAAAGATGAGAGACAGAAAATTGTGAAATCCTCCCTGAACCTTTTTCGCTAAGAGTCAACAATTCATGACAAATGGTTCTAACTTTTGACTCAGCGGACGACGACCTAATTGCGCTGTTTTCACCATGGAAGCAAGAAAACTATTCAGTTGCTCTAAATGTACAAGTAGAAAGCACTCACAAATTATACCTTACATGACATAAACTTGATCTAGGGCTAATTTAATCTTCTTTCGAGATCCTCCATTAGTGTTGTCTAAATAACGATAATTAAAAGGGGAAGCAAACTCTTGCGGCCATCTTGCCGATGAATCCCAGAATGCTTAACAGCTTGACTTTCACTGCTTCACATGAGGTTTCGACGGTAACACGGCACAATATGGTCACATGTTCAGCTGTTATACACTACAAAAAAAACACCACCCAAATTCAGCTTTCACCTATGATCAGCTGCTCAAAGTCAGGCCCGTAACCAGGGGGGATGCACGGGGTGCATTCGCACCCCCCCACAGGCCTCAAAGGTCCGCATTTTGATACTCAATATCCAGTTTAAGGAGTGCAGTCGGTTAAACTGAAGTTTCAAACTTAACAGTGATATTTGAACAAAATCAAAGAATGGAAAAAGCAGTAGTGTATTCACTGGGAAAATAAAACCAGCTGCACTCTAGTAGCCCGAGCCATTCAGAACATTTCAATGAGCGTACAGATGTCCCAGCGTATCTATATGAAAGATGAAATTAACGTGCGTACACTTTTGCACAGGCCAAATACAGCAGCCAAAGCTCTTAAGGAGTGCGATGATGATCTCTTTCCAAAGAGGGTCTAGAAGAGGGATAGGCGTAAAGCGGCCAAAAATTTAGTCGATAGCCGTAAAAATTGAAAAATTTTAAAATTCAGCTTTCACCTATGATCAGCTGCTCAAAGTCAGGCCCGTAACCAGGGGGGGTGCACGGGATACAGAACTGCTTTATTTTTTCGATCGTAATTCATGTTTAACGTTCAAACTATGAACTGCATGCAGTACGACTCTGAACCGGTTGTACTAAATTCTATATTTACAAATCAAACTCGGTCGCAATCACGCAATGAAATAAACACACACACGGAACACTTAGTTCAAAAACACAATAATTTGCTTTAATTGAAAAGAAGCTATTTGGTCCTTAACGAAGAAAAAAAACAAGGAGACAAAAGAGAAAAGCTAACAGAATCATTACACTTGACGGTAAAAATAGCAAGAAGGTCGAATTATAACATTTGATCTCAGAAACTTTGCGTAAACAAAATCACCGGCCGCCGAAACCAAAAAGTGGCTCTAAATGAAAAACCTACCAATTCTCCGCAATGATTCTTCATTCGCAGTTCAAATTAGCATTTCCGTTTCGAAAACAAGGGCGATTTTGCTGTTTAAGATAAAGATTAAGCTTATCGAAATGTTTGAACTAAACGAAAGAATGCCAGGCGGGGATGCGATCCGCTGAATATCAAGCGACAATCCCGCTAAATTTTTTCATAATTACACATAATTATGCGAATGTTTAGACAATCAACCAATCAAATTCACTACCCGGTTCTCGGGTAGTGAGTGACGTCACTGGACGGCATTAACGGCTGGTCGATTCAGACGTTGTTGAGAGGAGAAAACGACTCGAAGCAATCGGATGAATTTCAGGCTAACTACGAGAGAACGAATGGAGAACTGACAATTTGACTAAGAATGAGACGACGGTTTAACTGTGACAATAGACGGATCGAAACGCACCAATTACTGATTACGAGTCTTCATAGCCAATAACGTCACGGCTTAACTGACGGACGACCAATAACATTATGACGTAATTGACCAATCAGATCAATAACCAGAGTATAATACCATCAACTGACGTGATGCAACTCACTTTGACTCTGAAGATGACTACTGCACAGGTTGTCGAAACGTCAGTCACTGTCAACAACAACAGTCCTATTCAGTTGTCGAAACGTCAGTCACTGTCAACAACAACAGTCCTATTCAGGACTACGTTCACCCGGACGATCAAATTCAACCTACTTTTGAAATGACTCCTGGGTTCAAACCTTTCACACAACTTGATCTGTTACAAGACAAGCTTGAATGCGGGTGGTAAAACACGCAACATAGCTTTTCAACCTGTTTTGCAGCAATGTTGCAAAACACGTGTAACATTTTTGTTGCCCGTTCTACCATAGCTTTAGAAGAAATATTTTTTATCATTATCATTTCGACGCTGCCAGATGTTCACGTAGAGTCGTTTTTGAAAGCCTTCGCCTTTTTTACCGGAAGCCAACCAAACGATTGCGTCGTTGTGGTTACTTTTCACAGCTGACAAAAGTTGTTGATTAAATCGACGGCGATTGACTTGTTTCATCTAATGTACACTTTAGAAAGCGGCGAGCTCTAGACAAGCCAGACCTAAAACGTAAAAAAAAGAAAACGATTAGTAACTTACTTGAGGTTCTTGCAGTAAAACCAGTTTGTCAATCACTGATCGTAGAACTCCAGTGGCTGCTTCTAGAAAATCCTCCTCGTGGTACACAAATCCTCTGGCTAAGGTTAAAGAAATAGCAGTTTTACAATAAAACTTGTGGACCAAAATAGAGTAACTATTAATATTTCAAAAAGCAGATACAGGCAATCAAAGTATAGTTAAAAGAACCGAGAGCAAAAACAAGTGGCTATCGCTGAGCCCGGGAAAACGCGTTTGAGCAATACCGTGATTGGTTGAGGATATGGTGCGTGATTCTTTGAGCCAATCAGTGAGCGTAACGGTAAAGTTAACTTCGTTGTTCAATAGACCCATCCACCTTTTTTTCAACTTTTGTTGTCAACCTGTTAGCGAAAACCTGTCGACACCTCTGACAAAAGGACCTTGAAAAAACTAGTAATAAAGCCGAGGTAAAGAGTGATTTGATGAAAACTAAGTAACGAAGATATAGCTTTGCAAATTTTCCAAATTTTCCAAAAGTCTGTGACGGCTGCGCGACTTTGGGGAGGTATACCTTCGCTCAATTTAAATGTATTATCTTCAAACTTGATAAGTTTACTAATTTCAGTTAAGGAACTCTTTTTGGCAGTATCGATGAATATTCCCTAACTGGACCCCGCCAAACGTTAAAAAAAAAATGAGGAAAGGTCCATTGTAAAGAATTAGTACGAAACATTTCCACTTACTTTCAGCGGCAAAAGTTAGAGTGAACAGCGAACACCACAACTGTCCAAGCGCCTCCTCTCCTGCTAGCTAGTAGATCAGCGTCTAAGGCTGTCACTATATTGTTGAAACAGATCAGTGCTCTCGCGTGTACTGTACTTAAACTAAAAGCAAAGATTTATGCTGATTTAGAACAAACTACTCATTTAACTCAGAAGCGTTCGTACTAGAGGTTACCCTCACAATCTCATTGGAAAAAATTACCTCGGAGGTTAAATTTGCCGAACAGAAGTGGGCTTTACTAAAAAACAATGAAGTGTGCAAAAAAATTCTGCCCTTTGCTCAGTTACAAGGTAACCCCGCCCGCCGTTGCATCACCCGACGAACATATGAGCAAATGACATATAATCCAGCCTTTACAGAGAGAAATATAAAAGAAGCCAACGCTTATCTCCCAGATTCTCGTCCGGAGCAAAATTGTTTGGTCACGTATCGCACTCTACCGAACTTGTACGTATGTGCATGGCTAGTCAACACTTTGACTTCAACAGCGCCGATCGGTCCTTCGATAATCTACATGTGATGTCCAGCTGATATTTGCGAATGGGAAAGGAATTTATCTTTCGGTTCAGTAGACGTTAGTGGGGCAGGAACGCGTGACGAACCCCTAAGAACGTCTGCGTGGGAGGCTACTGGAGCGCGGGCTTAAAGGAGTGATTCTGTTAGGCACTAGCTGCTGGTAATGATGTTTTTAATTACAAGGGTAGCCACAAGTAGCTTACTGCGGACAGTTCTGATAGCTGCCTAGCTTATACAATTGTAAATTGTAAATATCTTATTATCCACTCCCCTCAGGGCTTTTCAGGGATAATTTACAACACTGGTTGGGGGACTTTGCCAGACTGCTTAAGGTGCAGTTTACAAGTAGTGAAGGAATGAGTAATGATGCCCCCATACATGAGTGTGAAAGTGAGATAGGCCACTACACCGGGCACTACGTGCCCTACTCTTTACGAAGAGTGTGTGGGTTCTTTAACGTCCCACAGATTTAATACATGTGCAAGGGCTTGTGAGACGGGGCCTACGGTTTATCGTCCTTATCCGAGAAGACTAGAAAGTCTAGCCGTTTGCAGATATTATTACAAAGGCAGCACTTTCTCCTCAGTTTTTTAAAGACCCTGAGTGTTGGTCCGGCCGGGGTTTGAACCCGCGACCTCCCGCTCAGTAGACCGGCGCTCTCCCAACTGAGCTAACCAGTCCATTAAGAAAGCTTCAGCAGTAGACCGTGAGAACTGGGTAGGGCTCCTGATTGATCGTGCCTCAAGGAAAATCCGCTTCAGCCAATCAAAAGTACTACCCATATCTGGGCAGTGGCACAACTGACACCAGTATGAAATTTCTGCCTCGTTTGTTCCTCACTGACGTCATTTCGCAGGGAAACCAGTGGTGGCATCGTAAAATGTTATGACTGTTTTCTCAGGCTATATAAACTGAAACTATAGTTGAGTTGTTTCAATGTTGTTGGTTTAGTTAACCAACCCTGTTTGTCAGTTCTCCTTTTCTTAAAATTCATTCTGCAGAGTAAAACAGCTGCCAAGTGGGTACTCTGTGCACAGCTTTACCGAGTGGTAACTGAAAAAATAATGGTTTGTTTGGCCACACAGGTCATGAAGGGAATTATTTCAACAGGAATCACGGAAGGAAAGGGTCGAGCTGGGGTAATGATTCCTATCCCTGGATATAGCATGTATCAGGCGAGGCTACTGCAACACAACACACTCCGGGTAATACCTATTCGTGTCACTTGGCGTCGCTTCCCGCGCAGCATGTTCAAGGCTTTCAAATATTAAAGAGCGGTGTTTGGGTTAAATCGTACGCGGAGGAAACGAGGGGAGAGTGGAGCGAGAGCGAGGAAACTCTCCCTCTCTAGTCTCTCCTGTTTTTTTTTTTGTTTTCCTCGTCAATTTTTCGACCGTGCTCTATTATCTGAAAGCCTAAAACAGGCTACTTCCCGCGAGAAGTGACACGCGTGTTGCGTCGTATTTTTAGGAGTTGTTTTCACTATCGTTCACGCATTTTCCTCTACTTAACCTGCGTAGCTGGCGGTTTTGTCTGGGAGGGGCAGCGGAAAGGAGTGCGAGGAGAGTAGAGTGCTTGCTCACGCTTCGCTCGTGCTATCGCAGCTTTACTCACCTGTTTACTTCGCTTTTCACGCTTGCTGACCAGTCTAACTAGGAAAGTATTAGTAACTGTTAAGAAGAAAGAGACTTAAGACTCTAGAAGATAGTTGTTAATTTGAATTAATTGGCCGCATCGCGAAAGTCTACTGCTGTATTTTACAAGCAGATTTTCATTTTTAAGAACCCGTTGGCGCGTGCGAACCACCACTAGAAAAACAAAATATTACAAAACAAAAAACGCTTTGTGGTGTTCAAGCAAGTGAGCTTCTTCCCTGCCTGTACAAAATTCATCCAAGCTTGGCTGATTTTCACTAGCCACGGTGACGGGCCGGTCGTATTCAGAGTCGTAAACGGCTTCATAGGCTTAAAGGGAGGAATCGGAGTCCCAAGAATCGGAACGTTTTTACCTTCCGACTCCGCCTCTTACAGTGTAGTGAAAACGAGAGGAATAAACCAATCGCACTACTCGGTCTCAAGCACTGTGGCATGTTGTGAAAGATTGATCTGTCGCTTCTCCTTACAAGTGTGACAACCTGCGACGAAGTCGTAAGCGGAATACGACTCTTTTTTCACTAGATCATAACGCTTTGCACTTCTAATTAGGACTAGTGAAAACTGGAACAGCCTTAAGAGTTCCCAAAACTATCCGTCAACCGGAGTAAAATCTAAGAACTTGGTTCCAGTTTTGTTGCAGCAAGAATTTATTACTTCAAACTTCGGCATTTTTCCTCAGAGACCCCTTGAGAAAATTACGTTCTACTCAATTTTTTATTTATTTTTCATCCTGAAGATATTTTACCTTCTTGACGAAGACAACAACTGGAGTTTGAATATGTCTGAACTAAAGAAAGAGCTGGATGGGGCAAGGCCGCACTGTTTACCAAGAGCTCTCGTGCTGATAAATCCAGGCAATCCAACAGGTACATTGAATGTTTATCGATCTGTAATTACCTGCAGTAATATTAATGCAGATGATGATGATGATGATGGTAGCAATGATAATAAAATTTATCTATTTACTCTCGACATTCTTTTAGCGCACAGGTTATTGTGTTCGAGCTTTCTTTTCAAGGAGGGGACCCTTATAAAAGGGTGTTCGTTATACCAGGGTGTTGGCTATACAGTATGTGGTCCTTGGTCCGCGTGTAAAAGTCATTAACTTGAATATCTTACCCAAATCTTCATGTAACGAGCTGAAATACTTCCTGAAGATAGCTTTTATGTTCCTGTCTATAATCCTGAAGTTTCAAGTTCCAGACATAAATATTTTGCTTGGAATTCGAAAAAAAGCGACCGTTTTCGATGGTCCTTGGTCCGCGAATCTGGTCCTTGGTCCGCGTCTCAGGTAAGCAGCACGATAAAAACGTAAAAATGTTATAGTCTCCAAACGAAAACGTGATTTTGAGAGTATTTCTTGTATTTTTTTCTTTTCTTGATGCAATTAAGCTAAAGTTTTTTTTGGAAGATGTTGTGAGCATAAAATAATCTGCTCTTCTTTCAAAGACTTCAGACAACAGTCTCCTCGAGTCTCCCACACGAGCGTCGACGAGCGGTTTTTAGCGCGGTCGAAAATAATTACCAAAAACTCTGTATGTACTCGAGGCATTAAAAAAGAGAACTTGTAGACATGTATAGGGACGACTTTCAAAACATTCTTCGAAAACAAAGGCCGTCGCTTTTTCCTTTGGGAAGTTTTATTCAACCAAGGTCATAGGACGCGGACCAAGGACCGCTAAGCGAAATTTGGTGATATTTTTCAAGAGTCGCTAAAAGAAAAAATTCAGAGTCTACAGCAATATGCTTCCAACAGCAGAAATGGGTTGATCTGAAAACCTGTTCTGCAAAAAGGCAAGTCTTCCCGTTGCGTTTTAGTTATTCGTCGGCTAAGTAAACATGACCACGTAATTTACGGTGCCGCAAATATCCAAACTTCAAGAAAGACAAATTAACCTACCTGTCAACAAACTTTAATTTCGCGTCTTCACCCACAGCAAGAAGGCTGAAACTTCGTCATATGAAAGAATGCTAATCAGTAAATCACGATATCTTTCATTATTCAACGTATTTTTTTTCTTGACGAGATATTTTATCATTTTTCGAAAAGACGTCGACCAAGGGCATCGGGGACTTGCGCGGACCAAGGACCACATACTGTATAGGCGTTCTGCCTAATACCGGGATGTTCATTATCTAGGCAGTCGTTAAATTAGGGTGCCCGTCATATAGAGATTCTACGACGTTAAACCGAGATGTTCGTTATATCAGAGTTTAACTATAAAATGTAAACTTGTTCTGCTACCTTCGTTTATCCATTAACTTTAGTCACGTTTGCTTCTTGTTTATTTATAGGTCAGGTGTTGACGTATGAAGACGTTCAAGAAGTAATCAAGTTTTATGCTCGTGAGAAGCTAGTTTTATTCGCCGATGAAGTTAACCAAGACAACGTGTACGCGGAGGGAGCCCAGTTTCACTCGTGCAAAAAAGTCCTTAGGGACCTGGGAGACGAGTATAGCGGATTTCAATTGATCTCTCTTCATTCCAGTGCCAAAGGGTACACAGGCGAGTAAGTTGTGTGTGTGTGTTTTTGCTCTTGCTTGTTTGTTTTCGCGGCCACCTTCGGGTAGTAGACAAAAATGATTTAGTGCCAATTTTGTATCCTTGTTGGGCTCTGTTTGCCGGGCTTATTTGATTGCACATACATAACCAGAGACAAACCATTATTAACCCTTGCACTCCCAATTACAAATTACAAATTTCCTTTTTTTAAAGTGCCTAGAAACAATTAGTACCACATGAAAGTATAAACAACGAGGTTTCATTTGAATGGTCACAACAAAAGGATTTGGTCCACAGACTCTAAAGTTAGTTAGAAGTTGAATTCCTGACTTGACTCCATCATTCATTCTGCGGGAAGTTAAAGGGTTAAGGGGTCACTTGTCAAAGTCCCGGAAAGACTTTTCTCTGAATTACTGATGAGAGTCGCAGTCCTCCTTTCCCTAGCAGTCCTTATCAAGTTTTTTGTATTTCCTTCATCGCTATTAATTGTTCACTTTGCTACGAGGTATTTTGCATGTTCATTAAAAACATTATTTTGTCTTTGGCTTGACATTTCCTCTTTTTTTGGAAAAAAGAAGGCAGGAAACACTTTTTGGATATTATGGTCTTGAGGTGGATTCTTCAACTGTACTTAACGGTTAACGGTCGGTAATCTCCAACCCAGATCTCTTGTAGACGAAGTCGAAGAGATCAACAAGAGGTCTGGTTACGAGACTAGTCAGTTGGCTGTTACCAAAGGTGACTGTTGACACAGGTTTGGTTGTAATGTTCAGCTTTCTGGACTTGCGTATCCCGCGGAATGGTTCTTATGCGCTATCATACGCTTCAGATGAGCAAATTTCACCACCGAGCCTCGTTTGTAAGCAAAATTCTTCGCATTTGCATTCTTTCTGGGTGGGTCTTGGGAAACAATTTAAAAGCAAAACTTCTCCACTTTTTCCAACTTGACAATTCGTTTCCCGGAAATCGGAAATTCAAGTGCTCAGCCTAAGCAGCAAATATAGCCAACTGATCATGAATGCCAAAACAAATCTTTTGTATTTTCTCACAATAAGGCCTTTGCAGCTAGCTATTCACGTGGTAAAAAACCGCTATGCTGGGGAGTTAGGGAGGGGCGCTCTGGGACAAGACAAACAAACAGCTCACTTCATTAAACTTGTAATTTCCTATGTTTGTCTTCTCCCAATGCGTGTCTTGGGGTGTTTGCCATTTTTATGGACAAACCATTCAGTTGGCGGTTTGGGCATGCAAATGGTAAGCAAAATTCGGGGGTAGTACATTTCGTCCCGGAATTGCGTTCACCATTTGCGTACAAATCAGTTTCATTTACCGAGAAACGGCGGCGAGAACAAAGGTGGCTTTGAAGAAAAGAAACACGACCGGAAAAACAGAAAAACTTTTTCAGACATTCCGTTGCTCCTCGAAATTTTCCACTGAATTTCTTGAACAGTCGTCAGGTGATCTTTCCAACTGTATTTTTGTAAACGGTAAACAACCTTGCTCTCCATCATGGCGGTTTCGTACCATGCCAATGACAAGCCGCCATGGGTCAATATTTCATCTACCGCTTCTACTGGACTTTCTTCATTGCTGTTCCTTGCAGATGTGGGCTCAGAGCTGGCTATATAGAGCTCGTAGGATTCAATGATCAACTCAGGTCTCGAGTTAAAACTTACCTGAGTGCAAGAAGTTGCCCTTCCACAATAGGACAGGTACGAATAATGTATGTCATGTAGTGAAATGGGATAGAGGTCCCTAATGAAAGGGCTGTCTCAACCCCTAGTCCACAATTTCCAGTTTGAATTCCTGGAAAGACTTCAGTTAATACCTTTCGTTAGAGCGAAAGTATCTTTGTGTCTCTACGATGATTTATTAACATCTCCCAAGTCCTAGACAAGCCTGGCTGCTTGTGTTTCTCTTTTCGTTATACTGGCTTTGTGTTGTTTGTTCCTCTTGTTGATTTGTTTTGTTCTATGGTGCGGTCAGGGTATTAGGCAGTTAAGCAAAAAATTGCAATAGTTCAGATGTAAGTTCATCATACTTAGGGGTCTCTCACACTACGCGCAAAGAATGGTGGGATAGTGAAAGATGGCTTTGCTCTCCTTTCTTACTCCCCCCATAAAGCTTCGCGCTTCTCTTATTTTCAGTCATTCGCCTTGTGTCGCGCGAGTCTCGAAGCGCTTGCAGAAGAAGCTGTTAGTGCTTTATTGTAAGGTACTCAGTCTGTATTCATTACGCTTGATTTCTAACCCAAGGTAATCATGGGACTCACTTGCAACCCTCCCAAGCCTGGCGATGAATCATATGAAAAGTTTTCAAAGGTATGCTCCTGACTGTAACTTAACGCAGAGAAACTCACGCGCCTCGCGTGATCATAATCAGTGCTACTTTATCGCTCGTGTAATTTTTTAAAGGGGCTCTGTCACGGCTGACTAGTTTATATGGTTGATAATGGCAGTAACGAGTCATTATTCGCTATGGAACTTGAGAACTTAGTTCTTAGTTGTGAATGACAAAATCAATAGCGTTGTATTATCCTTTTTTTTTTCAGCTTGTCTCTATTGCTCAGGCTGCAACTCGTTCCAGGTTTTAACGAAAATGTAACAATTTGAACAGTAGCTTTTCACGATACAGATCAATGCAGTGAATAATACAATATATACTTAGTCAGGTGACGCCTCTAATGCATGCCTGCCTGCCATGGGATAGCCGATTTAACAAATAAAGCTTGTTTCTCTTACCCTGGGTACCAGAGGTTTTTCTCGCGGGGGAGGTATCCTTTGGCCCGCGGGCCGAAGTCACTAGTGGCGATAAAAATTTGAAAAACCGGAAGCCGTGGCAAGCAGGATAGGTTTCTATTGATTCTTTTGCCCAAACAAAACGTCAGGTTCGAGTCTTACGCAAGCAAAGTTTGCCTAGTACTGAAGTCGCTAAGGGACTAGGTGGAGTAAACAAAAATGTCTACTTGCTCCTGGAACATTCGGCAATCTTCTTATAAATGAATAGAAAATGATCTTTAATTACCACGCACTAGGGAAATCTAGAGATGATTACCTCCAGTATTCCTATATCTTGCCTAAGCATTATTTTGTGTCTTATCTGTTTTACAGGAAGTAACATCCATCAAGGATTCTTACAGGAAGAAAGCAAAGATGACAACGGAGGTTCTTAACTCAATGGAAAATGTTAAGTGTAACGAGGTGGCAGGTGCAATGTATGCGTTTCCGAGGATAACACTTCCAAAGAAAGCTATCGAGGCAGCCAAGGTATCATGTCCTGTTTCCGGCCCTGATTTCTAGTGCCACACTGCAGAATACTGTCAGTAATGGATATCCCAGGTGTACGGTAATCCAGATTCCGGAACCCGGGAATTTTTTCTTCTAGACTGATCCGGAATCAGTTCAGGGGTTTGAAATTCGGATTTCAGACGCGGTTGTTCATAAGATGCATAGCTCTATCCACCGGATAAATTCACTATCCAGTGGATAGGTATGAGCGAAACCAATTGCACTATCCACTGGATAGGGATTTATCCGGTGGATGGCGTTATGCAGCTTTTGAACAGCTGGGGCCTGCTCTATGTATGAAGCCCGGAATCTCGCTAACGATTGGAATCTGGAATCCACGTTTCATGGACAAGGAATACTGAATCCAGTACCCGCCATCCTGGATCTACAGCATAAAATCCGGAATCCACAACGTGCGATCCAGAAGCCAAGATTCTCGTTGATGCACCTTATATTAGAGGAATGGCAACCCGTTTCCCCCCGTGTCAGTTTTCATAAAAGGCGTTCTTCGGTTAGAAAAAGCGATAAGGGCGCTATCATGGGCTCCCATCTTATTCAAGCTGCTGAAAATGTCCCGCGAAAATTAAATTTTTACTTTCTCAACTTTCCTTATTGCATTCCTAAATTCCATATGTCGTGTCGATCTAGTAACAACTCCCAGTAAAGGCTTCATCGAGGGATTCATTGAAATAAAGATATTCCTCTCACAAGGGAAGTATGTATGTGATCTGTTTGGTGAGGGAAGTGTCAGGATTTTGGGTGGACAAAAGTAAATTTGTGTAGATATTTTTTTAGTTTACTAAGTTGTTGGTATTGTCATTGTTATTTAGGCCAAGGAAATGCCACCAGACGAGTTTTACTGTTGGCAGGCGCTGGAGAAAACTGGAATTTACATGATTCCTGGCCACGTTTTTGATATGAAAGGCAGCGGTAATAACAACTTTTACTACAGGTAAGATTTGAATTAACAAGGGTCATCAACTTCAGGTCGGAATTTTTATGATTTTAAAAACCTCTCTGTGATGTCATTTGCGCCCTTGGGTCACAAGGTTTTCACAGGCTTGTCTAATATATTTAGTTTGATTAGATTGACTGCACCTTTAAATTTGAAAAGACCCCTCTTTCCCCCCAACCCCGAAAAATTCTGCCTTTGTACCACAGGAACACCAAATTAGGATGCGTTTTGACGAACGCGATAAGGGTATACACAGGTCGGCCCATAGCCGGGGTGATTGGGGCTTAGTGGAGGTCCTGCAACTGGAATAAAGTTGGTGTTTACAAATAGAAGGGCTCACAACCGGGATTATACGGTACGGACCAGAGCATAAACTTACTTGGGAAAAGGCGTCCTAAAAGCGATTTGTCCGTAAAAGCGACGTTCTGTCAGCGTGTGAAAGTCTGAGTTTCATCTCCACATTATGGCTTAAAATAATCCAAAAAGTTTTGATTTTTCAAAGCCACTATCCATACGAAGGAAATAACTTAAAACGGTTTCATGTTTTAATCTTTCTTGGTAGGATCACTATTCTTCCTTCTAAAGAGACGTTTGCTCCAATGTTTGAGCGACTACGAATCTTTCACCAAGAATTCATGGCGCAGTTTAAGGACACGAACTGACAAGATGGATTTACTGGATTTAGTTTCCAGTGATGACAATATTCAATCCAGACTATTTCATATGTCTCCATCCTCATTTATCAGGGGAAAGTTTTCTGATGTAAAATATATGTTTGAAGAAGCAAAACTGTTGTTTACAAATTTCTATTTCTCGAGAAAGGCTAAATAGTCTTGATGACTCTTCTTTCGTCTATGATTTTCACAGTTTTTCAATTGACTTCCCTTCCCAGATTTGGCTATATATTATCTCTCAAAAAAGACCCGGAAATGTTCAACAATAGTGGCAGAAAGACTCTTGAATGTATCTGGCAAGCTGTGCACAAATGTCCTTAACCACACAACGACGAAAAACAACCTCCTAAAATTGGCGTGAAAAAAGACACTTTTAACAATCTTCTGACTTTTCCCATCTTTAGGACACTGAAGTGTACTTTTCCCATTTCAGCGTTTTTCCGGCCCATTCCTTGTGATATTCCAGACACAGATAAGAACGTAAAGAAATCCTGTTTATATAAATAGCAATTTTATTGAAGCCTCTTAAAATGCTGATTTTACTAACAGAGGAATTTTACTTTCAAAACAAGTCGCATTACTAAAGGAGATATTTAATGTTTTACGACCACATTCATAATCATTATGACTAACTCTAAACAAGGAAATGTAAAGGATTATTTTTTCGTTTTGGAAGCATACTAAACGTAACGAAAAGATAAACGAGACTAATAACCGGCTCTATATTTAGTTGTAGTATTTGACGAAATACTGTGGTTAACTCATCAATGGTTTAGATTTTGTTTTCCTTTGTGTTGCGGTATGGTTATGTACGATTGAGAATCAGAGTTTAAAACAAAGGAAAAAAGCATTTGAACCAAGGAAAAAATTGTACCACAACATTTATTTACTGCCTTTATATCGAAATTTAAAGGTCGTAATAATAGTATACAATCAGCTACTTTTTTTTATGTATGAAGATGACGAAAACATAAGTTGGCTTCCAAGTGTTAAACGAAGTACGTTAAAGCGCATGAAGAGGAATAACTTGGGCATTTTGTCTTCGTTGACGTTTAAATAACAGCAGGAGAGCTTTCCTGAACTCTGGAATTCTTATTGTGTAAACGATGGGATTAACAAGCGAGTTCATAAAATATAGAATCTTTAAAGAAAAATCCAAACGTAATGATTCCTGGGAAGAAAGGAATTTTATGATACCAGTTTGATAAAGAAAAGTAAAAACCGCATGTGGTAGCCACATCAGTAAGGATACGATAGTCATTATGAATAATGTTACGGTCAGTTTCCTTTGTCTGTTGGCTGCACCATGGTGCTGGGGATGCGCTCCACACAAAAATTTAACAACAATGAAAGAGTAAGAAAAACAGATAACAAATAGACACAAACAACAGTATGATTGCCAGAAGTAAAAATGATACGAATATTCCTTCCCATATAGCTTAAGTATTAAACTGACAGTTGATACCATTGTAGCTAAAACCCAGACACCAGCAATTGTTACCCCGTATATCCAGTTTTTGATGAGGCGATGCCTGAAGGGACGAATTGTTGCATGCATCCGATCTAATGAAATGACTGCAATGTTTGTTAGAGAGGTCAGAGGAAACCAGGGGAAGAGAAAGTTAATTATCACATTCAGTTCCTGGCTTAAGTTAATTTTCACAATGTCGCATGATAGTGAGAGGCGTTGAAATAGAAAAAAGTGAGAAAATCCTCCGACAAACATATCAGCTATGGTCAGGCTTATAACTAGGTACATGGCACGAGTGCGAAGACTCCGGGTTTTTATAAAAAGAATGATTGATATAAGGTTCACTGTTACTATAGCAACAGACATGGTAAGGAATACAGCAAACCAGGTGATGCACTCGGATGAAGAAAACATCGTGGATTGTTTTCTTTTACTCCTTTTCTCTTCACACTTTTACTTGTTCTCTTCTGTTGTTCGTCTACCCTTAGAAAGAATTTGAATTGAATAAAGTTGGATTACTTAGAAAAGAAAAGTAGGAGGTGAACAAACAAGGTTGACGTCTGTTTTTCAAAGATCAGTAATGAAGATTCATGAATAATAATTCGACGAATTAGAAAGCTCACCTTTAACTTACAGTTTTTCAAATTGCCTTTACAAAAGCTGAAGTGAAAACCCTTGTTTTCACCTGTGGAAAAAATATCAGTGACGTTTGAGGGCAGATTAAGACAAATTGGTTGACTAAAAGCTGAGGGCATTAAATTTCGTTTCATCTGAACATTTTTAAAACTAATTAATGTCAGCGCTCGTTCACCTGAGTATAATGATAATTGTTCACTATAGTATATAGTATATTATAGTATATATATATAACCCATTTTTGGAAAACCAACCTAACGAAATTTGCAGTCATTTGACTGAAAAGGCGTCAAAAGGCAGGTTTCTTAAGCCCGGGAACGGCTCCAAAATCACAGTAACGAAAGAAAAGGAAAGGAGAAAAAGAAAGAGCGGGGAGATCAGGAAAGGAGGAGAAGAAAAAAAAGCAATGGTTGCACCCTTAAGTTTCTATAATGAGCTACTTGGATATAGTTTTTGGCCGAAAAAAACTGTTGGACGGAAAAGGTCCATTTGACGATAACGTTTTAAAAAATCCGGCTAGATATATATACCGCTAAAGATATGTTATTACATCAGAAGCAAAAAATGTTCGCGGTAAAATGCAAAGGGTACTACTAACTAGCTATTTAACTAACAATCTAACTGTGGCTAAAATTGTATTTGAATCTATTACATTAATACTTTTTTAACATATTTATTTCGCTCTTTAAAAATATTGAAGGTCTGTTTGGTATATAGGGAGTAAACTGATGACCAAAATCCAAAATGAAAATGTGACTATTATTTCAGTTAACCCTTCTAAGACAATCAAATGTCCATAGTGTGACCGGGAAAAAATTAAATGTTTCATGCAAACTCTTCGTGAACAATTTCACTTGGTTAAAGGAGCTGAAATTTCTCATGAAAATATGACTGACGAGGACCTTAAGTCGCGGCTTATTAGCTCGGACAATCCTTGTATTTTAACATTTTCCATTGCAAGTATTTTTAAGTAAGTAAATATTATAGTGAGGAGGAGAGAAACAACGCTCTACAACCCGCCCACCATCTCCGACGCCGCCTCTCTCCAACATTTACTCAAACCATTTAAGGATATCTTTAAGATTGTTGTTTTAAAAAGAAGCTCTGCAAATGCGTTCTAGATAACTATAAAATTTGTATCTGTTTGGTGACATCCTTGGGCTTCTTCAGCCGATGCGAATTTATCAGTTTAGCGCTTTACTTTTTCGAAAATCTTTGATGCTATTAAATATACAGAAAACTCAACATTTTCCGATGCACATCTTTCTGTTACTGATTCTAAAACCCAAAATTTATTATAAGTAGTCCATTTTTGCGAATGATGACCACATATGGGAAGACAAGTGAAAAGTGAATATCCCATTCCCAACTTCAATCATAGAAGTTAATAGACTGAAAACTTCCAAAAACTGAGATGAATGGTACATTCATCCATGAACTTTTAACTTTTTTCAAGCTATAGAAATCTCTAGATAATATTTATATGTGCTTCTTCGAACAGCTATTTCACAGAAACCAGTCGTTGGGATTAGTATAATAAACATTGAAGGTAAAACCCAGACAAGAGTAACAATTGTTACCGGCCCGTAGACTCACTTTTTAATGAGCAGAGGCGATTCCTAGGGGCTGTATAGGGACGAATTGTTGCATGCATCTGATCCAATGAAATTACTGCAATGTTTGTGAGAGAGGTCAGAGGAAACCAGACGAAGACAAACCCAGTTGTTAATGTCAGTTGCAGGGTTAAGTGCGGAAATTGCACAATGTCGCATAAGTAGAGAGTAAGGTTACAAATAGAGAAAAGTGAGAAAATACTCCGACAAACAAATCAACTATGGTCAGGTTTATAACTAGGTACATGGCACGAGTGTGAAGACTGCGTTTTTTTATAAAAAGAAGGATTGATAGAAGTTTCACTGTAAGTTACTATAGCAACAGACATGGTAAGGAATACAGCGAGCCAGGTGATGTACTAGGATGATATCATGGCTTGTTATTTTGTTCGCTTCACAACTTTTAATTCCCTTTTACTCTCTGTTGCTTGTCTACCTTTCAGGAGAATTTGAAAAAAAATTCAATTAAGAACGTGGACAAAGAAGGTTGATGTTAGTTCCGCAAAGATCACTAATGGAGATACGGTACATTTAGGACGCTGATCGACAGTATCGGTTGTTGGGACAAACGGTTTAATTACTTTTTATTCTGCATGCGTCTCTGCTGAAACAAAGGAAGTTTAATGGTGTTTTCCCTTTTTTTTAAGCTACGTCAAGGCTATCGTAAAAGGGAACTCATGATTTTGAACAGCGAATGGTCAAGGAACTTTTAGAACTACTGCTAAGATAATATCATACAGTTTTTCTACGTTGATGCAAACTATTGAATTTCACTCGGTTAACGGAACTAAAATTTCTCATATGAAAATATGAAAAGGACGTAAGTCGCTTCCAGCTCGGCTAATCCCTGTATTTAAACATTGCAAGCTTTTATTTGTGGGCCCATATCATGAGTGAGGAGCGAGAGAAACATCTCGCTCCTTGAACACAACGCCGCGGCTTTCAGATTTTTAGATTGTTTTTAAAGATTTGCAAATGCTTTCTAAGAAGCACTATAAAATTTTTAACTGTTTTGTAATTCTAGATCTCCTTTAGTCTATGCGAATTTAATACCTTCCTCTTATTACTCTTCCAAAAATCTTTCATGCTATTTATATTTAATCTTTGACTGAAAACTCAACATTTTCCGATACTTCTTCCATTACTTCCGAAGCCAAAAATTTTAGTAGTCCTTTTTTACGAATGATCAAACCTGGGAAGTCACGGAAAGGTGAAAAACCAACTTCAGAGAATCGCAGAAAAATTAATGGACTAAAAGAGCCAAAAATTTACATGAATGGAACATTTTTCATCTAGAAATTTTTTCTCGAGCTTTCGAAATTTCCAGACAATTATACTGTTCTTCTTCGAATTATAGCTTTTTTACACAAAACATTCAACCGTTGGGTGTCCCTATACCACATCACGGAAAAGGTCGAAAGGTCCTATGAAAGTCCTAAACAGTGGTTAAGTAGGACTTAGGTTTAGAAATATTCTGTTCTTAAATAAATGCTATGATCATACCGTAATTAAAACCTTTTTGTCAAGTTGTATTTTGTTTTCTTCTTGTGTGCAACTAACCTTTCACAAAAGGTGTTTTGGAAAAGATTGTCCTTAACTTGCACTCTCCTGTATTGAACACGATCATGAGATTATTAGATATAGGGCAAAAAAACTTTGCTTTTACCATACTTCAAACAGGCTGGCAAATAATGATTTGTTTAAGATAAGTATATCTATAGCTCTATAACTGGTACGGTTTAACAATAAATTTATGCTCACTGACTGCATGATATCGCAGTAAAAACCTTTAATATGTTTTGTTTTGTTCTAGCCTGTTCACAGACCCTCTAGTTTTCTCTTCAAAGTCCATCGAGCGCGCGTGATAAAAAACAAAATTAAAACCGCGGGATTTGCTGACCGCCAGCGGAAGGGGTTAGGGGTGGGGAAGGAGAAAATTCTTTATTTTTCTTTATCGCGCTCCGCGCTCGTTCTCGCTCGACTATGTTCTCGAAAAGAACGAAAAGAAAAATAAAACAACGTCTGTGTACAGGCAAGTTTTAATTTGTTCAGCCGTTTTGTTTTGTTTATAAATAAATAACTAACCTTTCGCAAAATGCTATGCTGGATGTCCCCACTGATGAGGCAAAAAAGTATATCTATAGTTTTTGTTTGGAAAATATCAGTTCGGATTGTAAAAGACGTCTGCGGTTGAGTTAACTCCAGCGAAAAATAATCTTCCGTTGATTTATACGGTCTTATAAATTATCTGCACATCTGTTTTGGGAAATAATATTTCACAATTAAACTTCAGTTTACCATGAATATTGTCTTGGCCATCATTTTTACCCCTAATTATATCTATCCTCACTAAATAACTAAAAATTTGCTGCTGAATTAGCCTTTTTGTTAACTTGAACTTCCTTTTTTAATCAGCCCACAACCAATCGACCCTATTTGATGGACACGCACAACGATTATTTCCGTGCATCATTCAAGGTATCCCCACAGTTTCAAATTATAACTTATTTCATGTCAATAGTTCCTGAATTTTTCCTGAACTTCTTTGATAAAAGTATGCCAAGGAAAACAGAAGTGGGAGATAGTACAACGAAAGAGCACCATTTACTACAGATCCTTTGCCCGGCGTAGGGACTGGCGGCGAGTGAATACGTTCTCTCGCCAGGGCACTGCTATTACTTGCGCGCCAAAATGTATTAATTTCTTTTAGTTTTTTGATTACACTATTTGCATGAAACCCATCAGAATAATTAGACCTTTCCTGTTTTGTGGTCTTGTTTTTAAGGATGTCTCATAAGCCGCTACGGTTATAACATGTTTCAGGTTTTATGTGAATTGTAACAATTTAAACCTTCTTCCTTCATGTCTGTAAAGTAGCTATTTAGCTACTGAAGCACATTTGACTGCGTTAAATAAAGGTTATAGCATTGTATTGTATTGCTTTATTGCATTGCATTACATTGCTTTGCTTTGCATTTTATTGAATTGTATTGTATATTATTGTATTGTCACCCGAACATTTGTGACATTGCCTCCAAAGCAAAAAAATTGCGATTTATTCCCGAAATATTTGGCAGTCTTCTTAAATGCATAGAAAATGATCTTCAAGTGCCACGCACTAGGGAAATTATAAAAGGCAGGGAATCTCCAATCTTTTTATATCTATGCCTAATGCATTTATTCTTTGGTTAACTAGTTGTACAGGAAGTAGCATCCATCAAGGATTCTTACAGGAAGAAAGCAAAGATGACAACGGAGGTTCTTAACTCAATGGAAAATGTTAAGTGTAACGAGGTAGCAGGTGTAATGTATGCGTTTCCAAGGGTAGCACTTCCAAAGCAAGCTATCGAGGCAGCCAAGGTATCAAGTCTTGTTTCCGGCCTTGATTTCTAGAACCGCACTGCACACACATGTCCAATACTCTCGACCAGATTCCCGTGGACAAAACCTGGAGTCCGACGGAGTCTAGTCGAAAAATGAAACCGGAAGTTCAGTAGAGTCCACTTGAGTTACCGGAAGTTTAGTCATGAGATGAAACCGGAAGTGTAAACAATACTTAGAGGAGGGTTGGAAAGTCGTCCGATGGAGTCCATCGGATCCATTGGAAACACATCGATTCCGATGGAATCTCAGGAAGTCTAGTCGTGCCATGAGTCAAAATAGGCACACTGCACGTGTAACATAACTCGTTCTTTAAACCCTAAGTCGAGAATGGCAAGCCTAACAGGCAACAGAACCGGTTCTTAAAGCCATGAGTCGAAACAAGCACGGACGTCGGTATGCATAAGTCGTTCTTAAAGCGATGAGTCAAAACAAGTACGCTACACAAAAAATATAACTCGTTCTTAAAGCAATGAGCCGAAACGAGCACGCTACGCGTATGGCATAACTCGTTCTTAAAGCCCAAGTCGAAACAAGCACGGTACCCACGTAACATAACTCGTTCTTTAAACCCTAAGTCCCCCGGGCACTTTATTCGAGACGGACTGGCGCGCTTAAAGCCACGAGTCAAAACAAGCACGGTAAAGCTATGAAACGGGGCAAAAGCCCTGCGAAACGAGGACAGTACACAAGTATATGCTTCGATCTTTAATGGTAACTATAATATGAGCTACACTTGAGTAAAATTATTAAAAGAAACATACTGGTAGGCGGTAGGCATAACATTGAAACTGACATTACATGGATACAAAATGTATGAAGTTATTGAACAGCTGAAGTTTTAAACCTGAGCAATATTGAATTATTATTTGTTTTGTAAAATACTTAGTAAAAAACATTAAGTGATAAAAAGCCATATAAAACATTACATAAATCAGTCCTGGTCACTTCACACATCAACCAGCTGTAGACAGAAATTGAAGCTGGATGATTCTAGGTCTCTTCCATAAGGGCCCAATTCAGAAAAATGAAAGAAATATGCTTTTTATCATATTTTTATAAACGCCAATGAAATATTGGGTGAGTTTGTGTTCGAAAACATGATATCTTCACATGTCAAAATAACAAGTGAGTTATCTTTGCATGTAGGCGTGAAAATCACCCCACGCGCGCCTTTTCTCGCGTGGGGTGATTTTTACGCGCGCTCGCGTTTCGCTCGCTCTATACTATCCCTGAGGAAAAATAGGGGACTACTCGTAGTTTACTTTGCATGTGAAAAGATCACCATTGCTATGGTACAATATAACAACTCACACCTTTTACATAAAAAAAAAAATTATTCATTTAATAAGTGAAATGGTTAAGTATTTCAGTGGTATAAAATAAATGGAACATATTGCATGGCCGCTCGGAGATATGAAATTTCTCTTCTCATGTTGAAACAATATTTCACTGCTTCCAGCAAGGCTTACCCTTCCTCCTCTGTTGGATTGCTATTAATCATGCCTTTGTTGAGAAAAGCATGGACAAAATTCTTATAACAAGTTAGAGTTAATTTGCGTTTTTCATGTAAAATCATGCATGCCCAACCCTATTCTGCACCCTACAGGAAATATGTTGGATATATGCACGCAGTTTCAATATGTAAAGGGTGTGGGGAAACAGTGCTAGATTTAGTACAGGGTATTTTTCAAAAGGGTAGCACCTGGCTATGAGCCAGGGCACAAATAAATTACAAATACTTAATCATTGTTCCAAAGACTTTCAATGCAGGATTGTAGCTTTTATGCTGAATATTAGACAGTGGTATTACATCTTAAGAAGGGACAGTAAATTCCTTTTAGCTTGTGTTTTGCTTCCCCCCAGTGTGAATAAAGAGGTGTTCTCACAACAATTTACCCATCATAACCTTAAAATTTATATAGGTCTTGTGTCCAAAAATTATTGATGTGACTTATACACAATTTTAAAGAAAGCTTTCTTTGGAGCACTATCACATGGCTAGGCTTGATTTCCATGCCCTAAATGTTGTCACACATGACCTACATTGGGGAAACATAGCATCTGCGGTAACAACGACAAGCTAGTAAAGGTCTTTACTATTACTTCTCCTCTCATAACTGTACTTAACAAAAAATTTTCTTTGGCATTGTATCATGCACTGTATTTTATTAGCTTTATAGCCACTGCACTGCTTTCATCCCATTCTCAATGCCCTTGTCAAAGACAACTTTGAAGAAGAGGAAGAGTGAGCACAAATATTCAGTACAGTGGGCCAGAGGAAAAGACAAAAAAACCATGTAACATTGATGTAAAAATTGCAAAAATAATTATGTTCCAACTAACCAATCACTTCCTGCTATCCTACTATTTAAAAGCTTTCCCAATATTTGCCCGCCCAAATGAAGCCAGTAACAGTGTCCATTGAAAGAAAAAAAGGGTAGCAATAAAAGCGAATAAAGAAGGGAAAGCGAAATTTGTGACTGCAGTTGTGTTACTTTAAAACCACGAAACTATCTCATGCTTTCTATGCCCCAACTTTTGAAAATAATATTTTCAATTTGCATCTGTAACTGAACGCTGTGAACTACACGGCCTTTAAACAGTCTTCTGGTAAGATTTAGCTCATAAGCCAGACAGTGACTAGAAAACGAAGCCACTAGCTTCAAAACAAGTTTCTCAGCAAAATTCTCAGGAGAGGAATGGGATAAAAAACAAAACAAAAACAACAAAACAATGACGAGCTGAACTAAAAGGATAACTATTACAAAGGGGACTCAGGAATGAAAAAAGGTTTATCAGACTGCTTTGAAGGGGCTGGTCTCACTTGTCTGCTTTCATCAGCCAGCTCTAGGAACTTCCACACCTGGAGCTAACTGATGCCTGGCCCTTCCAAAGCTTCCAGCAAGGCCCGTCCCTTCGCCCTTCTTTCACCTGTCACCATCTGTGCCTTCTTCAGGAATAGCCGCCTTCTGCAAATAAGACCTGACTTGTTATCTTTATTGTCAGAATTGAGAGGCGGGATAACAGCTTTAGTAGGTACAGGGGAGATTTCTGATCGTTTTTTGAGATATCCTCCTTGTTCCTAATGTCATTGGGGGAACCAGACCTGATAGGTTTCTTCACTTCCTCATCTCTCTTTACCTATGAAAGATTGCAAGAAAAAGGTATGACAGAGAAAACAAAATTAAATAAGGTGGCTTGACTGGATTTTTTAGGGGGGATACCTTCCAAGTTTACGCATTAACTACATCAGCTCCTGATTGATCGTGCCTTAAGGAAAATCCGCTTCAGCTAATCAAAAGCACTACCCTGATCTGGGCAGTGACACAACTGACACCAGTATGAAATTTCTGCCGCGTCTAATTTGTTCCTCACTGACGACATTTCGCAGGGAAACCAGTGGTGGCATCGCAAAATGTTATGACTGTTTTCTCAAGCTATATAAACTGAAACTATTGTTGAGTTGTTTTTAGTGTTGTTGGTTTAGTTAACCAACCCTGTTTGTCAGTTCTCCTTTTCTTAAAATTCATTCTGCAGAGTAAAACAGCTGCCAAGTGGGTACCCTGTGACTGCTGCTCAGCTTTACCTAGTGGTAAATGAGAAAATAATGGTTTTTTTGGCTTCACAGGTCATGATGGGAATTATTTCAACAGGAATCACGGAAGGAAAGGGTCGAGCTGGGGTAATGAGTCCTATCCCTGGATATAGCATGTACCAGGCGAGGCTACTGCAACACAACACACATCAGGTAATACCTATTCGTGTCACTTGGCGTCGCTTCCCGCGCAGCCTGTTCCAGGCGTTCAAAAAGTAGAACGCAGTGTTTGGGTGAAATCGTACCCGGAGGAAAGGAGGGGAGAGTGGGACGAGAGCAAGGGAACTCTCTAGTCGCTCCCGTTATTTTTTTTCCTCGTTAATTAATTTTTCGACCGCGCTCTATTATCTGAACGCCTGGAACAGGCTACTTCCCGCAAGAAGTGACTCGCGTGTTGCGTCTTATTTTAAGAGTTGTTTTCACTATCGTTCACGCATTTTCCTCTACTTAGTCTGCGTAGCTCGCGGTTTTGTGTGCGGAGGGGCAGCGAAAAGGAGTGCGAGGAGAGTGGAGCGCCCTTTCGCACACGCTTCGCGCGTGCTATCGCGGCTTTACTTCGTTTTTCACGCTTGCTGAACTGTAAATAGTATAACGTCAGATAACTGTTAAGAAGAAAGAGACTTGAATCTCTAAAAGATGGTTGTAATTTGAATTAATTGTTCGCATCCCGAAAGTCTACTCCTGTATTTTCCAAGAAGATTTTCCATCTTTAAGAGCCGTTGGCGCGTGAGAACCACTACTAGAAAAGCAAAATATTACAAAACAAAAAAACGCTTTGCTGTGTTCGAGAAAGTGAGCTTCTTCGCTGCACAAAATTCGTCCAAGTTTGGCTGATTTTCACTAACCACGGTGACCGGCCGGTCGTACTCGGAGTCGTAAACGGTTTCATAAACTTAAAGGCCGGAATCGGAGTCCCAAGAATCGGAACGTTTTTGTCTTCCGATTCCGCTTACGACTCCGCCGCTTACAGTATAGTAATAACGAGAGGAATAAATCAATCACAACTCGGTTCCAAGCACTGTGGCATGTTGTGAAAGACTGATCTGTCGCTTCTCCTTACAAGTGTAACAACCTTGTAGTTTTCACTACTGACTTTGTAAGCGAAGAAGTCGTAAGCGGAATCGGACTTCTTTTTCACTAGATCATAACGCTTTGCACTTCTAATTACGATTAGTGAAAACTGGACCAGTCTTAGCTTAAGAGTTCCCTAAACTATCCGTCAACCGGAATAATTCTAAGAACTTGGTTCCAGTTTTGTTGCAGCAAGAATTTATTACTTCAAACTCCGGCACAATTTTTTGTTTATTTTTTATCCTAAAGATATTTTACCTTCTTGACGAAGACAACAACTGGGGTTTAAATATGTCTAAACTAAAGAAAAAGCTGGGTGGGGCAAGACCGTACTGTTTACCAAGAGCTCTTGTGCTGATAAATCCAGGCAATCCAAAAGGTACATTGAATGTTTATCTATTTGTAATTACCTGCAATAATATTAATGAAGATGATGATGATGATGATGAAGATGGCAATGATAATAAAATGTCTCTATTTACTCTCGACATTGTTTTACCACACAGTCTGCAGGTTAGTGCGTTCGAGCTTTCTTTTCACGGGGTGTCCCTTGTAAAAGGCGTTCGTTATACCAAGGTATTAGCTATATAGGCGTTCTTTTTACCGGGGTGTTTTTTTTTTCCCCTTTTTTTGATGAAGACCTCCTTATACCGGGATGTTCATTATCTAGGCAGTCGTTAAACTAGGGTGTCCTTTATATAGAGATTCTACGTTAAACCGAGGTGTTCGTTATATCAGAGTTTAACTATAAAATGTAAACTTGTTCTGTCCTTCGTTTATCCATTAACTTTAGTCACGTTTTCTTCTTGTATATATATAGGTCAGGTGTTGACGTATGAAGATATTCAAGAAGTAATCAAGTTTTGTGCTCGTGAGAAGTTAGTTTTATTCGCCGATGAAGTTTACCAAGACAACGTGTACGCAGAGGGAGCCCAGTTTCACTCGTGTAAAAAAGTCCTCAGGGACCTCGGAGCCGAGTATAGCGGATTTCAATTGATCTCTCTTCATTCCAGTGCCAAAGGGTACACAGGCGAGTAAGTTGTGCGTGTGCGTTTTTTCTCTTGCTTGGTTGTTATTGTGGGCACCTTCGGGTAGTAAACAAAAATGATTCAGTGCCAATTTTGTACCCCTGCGTTCTGTTTGCCTGGGCTTATTTGATTGCACATACATAACCACAGACAAACCATTATTAACCCTTGCACTCCCAATTACAAATTACAAATTTCCACTGAAATTTCTTGAACAGTCGTCAGGTGTTCTTTCCAACTGTATTTTTGTAAACGGTAAACAACTTTGCTCTCCATCATGGCGGTTTCGTACCATGCCAATGACAAGCTGCAATGGGTCAATATTTCATCTACTGCGGCTACTGGACTTTCTTCATTGCTGTTCCTTGCAGATGTGGGCTCAGAGGTGGATATATAGAACTCGTAGGATTCAATGATCAACTCAGGTCTCGAGTTAAAACTTACCTGAGTGCAAGAAGTTGCCCTTCCACGATAGGACAGGTACGAATAATGTATGTCATGTAGTGAAATGGGACAGAGGTCCCTAATGAAAGAGCTGCCTAAAACCCTAGTCCACAATTTCCACTTTGAATTCCTGGAAAAACCTCAGTTAATACCTTTCGTTAGAGCAAAAGTATCTTTGTGCTTCTACGATGATTTGTTAACATCTCTCAAGTCCCAGACAAGCCTGGCTGCTTGTGTTTCTCTTTTCGTCATGTTGGCTTTGTGTTGTTTCTTCCTCTTGTTGTTTTGTTTTGTTCTATGGTGGTCAGGGTATTAGCACTTAAGCAAAAAATTGCAATAGTTCAGATGTAACTTCATCGTACTTAGGCGTCTCTCACACTATGCGCAAAGAATGGCGGGATGGTGAAAGATGGCTTTGCTCTCCTTTCTTACTCTTCCCTTTCCTAGTCCCTAGGCCTCATTTTTCCTCGCAGCCAAAGCATTTCGGGTCACGTGGTCCATGCGAAAATGTGGGGGCGTTTCCCGCCCGTTCGTCTCGGATACGTCACCGAAACGAATTGACTGAGAGGGACTGGGAAAACGCCGTACAGGGACTAGGCAAACTCCTCCCATAAAACCTCGCGCTTCTCTTATTTCCAGTCATTCGCCTTGTGTCGCGCGAGTCTCGAAGCGCTTGCAGAAGAAGCTGTTAGTGCTTTATTGTAAGGTACTCAGTCTGTATTCATTACGCTTGGTTTCTAACCCAAGGTAATCATGGGACTCACTTACAACCATCCCAAGCCTGGAGATGAATCATATGTAAAGTTTTCAAAGGTATGTCCCTAACTGTAACTTAACCCAGAGAAACTCACGCGCCTCGCGTGATCATAATCAGTGCTACTTTATCGCTCGTGTAATTTTTTAAAGGGGGCTCTCTCACGGCTGACTACTTTATGTGGTTGATAATGGCAATAACGAGTCATTATTCGCTATGGAACTTGAGAACTTAGTACTTAGTTGTGAATGACAGAATTAATAGCGTCGTATTATTCTTTTTTCAGCTTGTCTCTAGTGCTCAGGCTGTAACGCGTTCCAGGTTTTAACGGAAATGTAACAATTTTAACCGTAGCTTTTCACGATACATATAAAAGCAGTGAAAAATATAATACTTAGTCAGGTGACGCCCCTAATGCCTGCCTGCCTGCCACGGGATAGCCGATTTAACAAATAAAGCTTGTTCCTCTTACCCTGAGTACCAGAGGTTTTTCTCGCGCGTGGGGGGATCCTTCGGCCCAAGGGCCGAAGCCACGAGAGGCGATAAAGATTTGAAAAACCGGAAGCCATGCATGAAAAGTCTCTGGTACGCAGGATAGGTTTCCATTGATTCTTTTGCCCAAACAAAACGTCAGATTCGAGTCTTACGCAATTAAAGTTTGCCAAGTACTGAAGTCGCTAAGGGACTAGTTGGAGTAAACAAAAATGTCTATTTTCTTCTGGAACATTTGGCAATCTTCTTATAAATGTATAGAAAATGATCTTTAATTGCGACGCACTAGGGAAATCTATAGAGGTGATTACCTTCAGTATTCCCATATCTTGCTTAATGCATTATTTTGTGTTTTATTTGTTTTACAGGAAGTAACATCTATCAAGGATTCTTACAGGAAGAAAGCAAAGATGACAACGGAGGTTCTTAACTCAATGGAAAATGTTAAGTGTAACGAGGTGGCTGGTGCAATGTATGCTTTTCCGAGGATAAAACTTCCAAAGAAAGCCATCGAGGCAGCCAAGGTATCATGTCTTGTTTCCGGCCCTGATATCTAGTGCCACACTGTAGAATACTGTCAGTAATGGATATCCTAGGTGTACGGTAATCCGGATTCCGGAACCCGGGAATTTTTTTCTTGTAGACTGATTTATTCACTAAATCAGTTCAGGGGTTTGAAATTCGGAATTTAGACCCGGTTGTTCATAAGATGCATAGCTCTATCCACCGGATAAATTCACTATCCAGTGGATAGGTATGAGCGAAACTAATTGCACTATCCACTGGATAGAGATTTATCCGGTGGATTGCGTTATCCAGGTTTTGAACAGCTGGGGCCTGCTCTATATATGAAGCACGACATCTCGCTAACGATTGGAATCTGGAATCCACGTTTCATGGACAAGGAATACTGAATCCAGTACCCGCCATGCCGGATCAACAACATAAAATCCGGAATCCACAACGTGCGATCCAGGAGCCAGGATTCTTGTTGATGCACCTTATATTAGAGGAATGCCAACCCGTTTCCCGCCGTGTCAGTTTTCATAAAATGCGTTCTTCGGTTAGAAAAAGCGATAAGGGCGCTATCATGGGCTCCCATCTTATTCAGGCTGCTGATAATGTCCCGCGAAAATTAAAATTTTGCTTTCTCAACTTTCCTTATTGCATTGCTAAATTCCATATGTCGTGTCGATCTAGTAACAACTCCCAGTAAAGGCTTCATCGAGGGATTCATTGAAATAAAGATATTCCTCTCACAAGGAAAGTATGTATGTGATCTGTTTGGTGAGGGAAGTGTCAGGATTTTGGGTGGACAAAAGTAAATTTGTGTAGATATTTTTTTAGTTTACTAAGTTGTTGGTATTGTCATTGTTATTTAGGCCAAGGAAATGCCACCAGACGAGTTTTACTGTTGGCAGGCGCTGGAGAAAACTGGAATTTACATGATTCCTGGCCACGTTTTTGATATGAAAGGCAGCGGTAATAACAACTTTTACTACAGGTAAGATTTGAATTAACAAGGGTCATCAACTTCAGGTCGGAATTTTTATGATTTTAAAAACCTCTCTGTGATATCATTTGCGCCCTCGGGTCACAAGGTTTTCACAGGCTTGTCTAATATATTTAGATTGATTAGATTGACTGCACCTTTAAATTTGAAAAGACACCTCTTTCCCCCCAACCCCGAAAAATTCTGCCTTTATACCACAGGAACACCAAATTAGGATGCGTTTTGACGAACGCGATAAGGGTATACACAGGTCGGCCCATAGCCGGGGTGATTTGGGGCTTAGTGGAGGTCCTGCAACTGGAATAAAGTTGGTGTTTACAAATAGAAGGGCTCACAACCGGGATTATACGGTACGGACCAGAGCATAAACTTACTTGGGAAAAGGCGTCCTAAAAGCGATTTGTCCGTAAAAGCGACGTTCTGTCAGCGTGCGAAAGTCTGATTGAATTGGACCAAGTTTCATCTCCACATTATGGCTCAGAATAATCCAAAAAGTTTTGATTTTTCAAAGCCACTATCCATACGAAGGAAATAACTTAAAACGGTTTCATGTTTTAATCTTTCTTGGTAGGATCACTATTCTTCCTTCTGAAGAGACGTTCGCTCCAATGTTTGAGCGACTACGAATCTTTCACCAAGAATTCATGGCGCAGTTTAAGGACACGAACTGACAAGATGGATTTACAAGATTTAGTTCCCAGTAATGACAATATTCAATCCAGACTATTTGATATGTTTCCATCCTCATTTATCAGGGGAAGGTTTTCTGATGTAAAATATATGTTTGAAGAAGCAAAACTGTTGTTTACAAATTTCTATTTCTCGAGAAAGGCTAAATAGTTTTGATGACTCTTCATTCATCTATGACTTTCAAAGTTTTTCAGTTGACTTCCCCTCCCAGAATTGGTTATATATTATCTCTCAAAAAAAAGACCCGGAAATGTTCAACAATAGTGGCAGAAAGAGTCTTGAATGTATCTGGCAAGCTGTACACAAATGTCCTTAACCACCCAACGAGGAAAAACAACATTTTTACAATCCACTCCTAAAATTGGCGTGAAAAAAAAGACACTTTTAACAATCTTTTGACTTTTCCCATCTCTAGGACACTGAAGTCTAGTGCCGCTTCCCATTTCAGCGTTTTTCCGGCCCATTCCTTGTGATATTCCAGACATAGATAAGAACATAAAGAAATCCTGTTTATATAAATAGCAACTTTATTCAAGTCTCTTAAAGTGCTGATTTTACTAACAGAAGTATTTTACCTTTAAAACAAGTCGCATTATTGAAGTGGATATCGCGTTGTGAAATAACAAATTAAGAACTAAACAACTTCTGCGCTTAATGTACATAATGGATATATTTCATGTTTTGCGACCACAGTCATAATGACTAACTCTAAACAAGGAAATGTAAAGGATATCTTTTCATTTTGGAAGCATACTAAATTAACGTAACGAAAAGATAAAGGAGACTACTAACCGGCTCTATATTTAGTTGTTAAGTATTTGACGAAATACTGTGGTTCAACTCATCAATGGTTTACTAGATTTTGTTTTCCTTTGTGTTGCAGTATAGTTAAGAGTTTAAAACAATTGACGGAAAAAAGCATTTGAACCAAGAAAAAAATTGCACCACAACAATTGTTTACAGCCTTTTTATCGAACTTTAAAGGCCTCAATAATAGTATACAATCAACTACAACTGGTCTTTTTTATGAAGATGACGAAATCATTAGTTGGCTTCCAAGTGTTAAACAAAGTACATTAAAGCTCATGAAGAGGAATATCTCGGGCATTTTGTCTTCGTTGACGTTTAAATAACACCAGGAGAGCTTTCCTAAACTCTGGCATTCTGATTGTGTAAACGACGGGATTAACAAGCGAGTTCATAAAATATAGAATGATTAAAGAAAAATCCAAACGTAGTAATTCCTGGGAAGAAAGGGATTTCATGATACCAGTTTTAAAAGAAAGAAAAATAAGAACTAAAGCTGTACTCGGTAGCCACATCAGTAAGGATGCGATAGTCATTAAGAATAATGTTACGGTCAGTTTCCTTTGTCTGTTGGCTGCACCATGGTGCTGGGGATGCGCTCCACAAAAAATTTTAACCGCAATGGAAGAGTAAGAAACACAGATAACAAAAAGACACAAACAACAGTATGATTGCCACAAGTAAAGATCATGTGACCTTTCCTCCCCATATGATCTAGATAACAGTAAACCGGCAGTTGATACCATTGCAGCTAAAACCCATACACCAGCAATTGTTACCCCGTAGACCCACTTTTTGATGAGGCGATGCCTGAAGGGACGAATTGTTGCATGCATCCGATCTAATGAAATCGCTGTAATGTTTGTTAGAGAGGTCAGAGGAAACCAGATGTAGGGAAAGAAAATTATCACATGCAGTTCCTGGCTTAAATTGATTTTCACAATGTCGCATGAGTCTAGTGAGAGGACATGAAATAGATGAAAGTGAGAAAACCCTCCGACAAACATATCAGCTACGGTCAGGCTTATAACTAGGTACATGGCACGAGTGCGAAGACTGCGGTTTTTTATAAAAAGAATGATTGATATAAGGTTCACTGTTACTATAGCAACAAACACAGCAAGGAATACAGCAAACCAGGTGATGCACTCGGATGAAGATAATTGCATAACTTGTTTTCTTTTACTTCTTTTCGCTTCACACTTTTACCCGTTCTCTTCAGTTTTTCGTCTACCTTTAGAAAGAATTTGAATTGAATAAAGTTTGGTTAATTAGAAAACAAAAGTAGGAGGTGAACAAATAAGGTTGACGTCTGTTTTTCGAAGATCAGTAATGAAGATACATGAATAATAATTCGACGAATTAGGAAGCTCACCTTTAACTTACAGTTTTTCAAATTGCCTTCACAAAAGCTGAAGTCAAACCCTTGTTTTCACCTGTGGACAAAATATCAGTGACGTTTGAGGGGAGATTAGGATAAATTGGTTGACTAAAAGCTGAGGGCATTAAATTTCGTTTGAACTGAATATTTTTAAAACCTACGTAACGTCAGCGCTCGTTCACCTGAGTATAATAATAATTATTATACCTATTTTTGGAAAGCCAACCTAACGAAATTTGCAGTCATTTGACTGAAAAGGCGTCAAAAGGCAGGTTTCTTAAGCCCGAGAACGGCTCCAAAATCACAGTAACGAAGGAGAAGGAAAGGAGAAAAAGAAAGAGCGACGGAGGAGATCAGGAAAGGAGGAGAGGAAAAAAAAGACAATGGTTGCACTCTTAGTTTTTATAATGAGCTACTTTGGATATAGGTTTTGGCCGAAAAAAACATCCATTTGACGATAACGTTTTCAAAAATCCGGCTAGATACTAGTACAGCTAAACATGTTAGTACATCAGGAACAAAAAATGTTCGTGCTAAAATGCAAAGGGTACTACTAACTAACAATCTAACTGTGGCTAAAATTGTATTTCAATCTATTACATTAATACTTTTTTTAACATTTTTATTTCGCTCTTTAAGTAGTCCATTTTTGCGAATGATGTCCAAATATGGGAAGACAAGTGAAAAGTGAAAATCCCATTCCTAACTTCAATCAGAGAAGTTAATAGACTGAAAACTTCGAAAAACTGAGATGAATGGTACATTCATCCATGAATTTTTGACTTTTTTCGAGCTATAGAAATCTCTAGATAATATGTGCTTCTTCGAACAGCTATTTCACAGAAACCAGCCCCGGGCTACCACATGAAAAGACTGAAGGTCCACTAGATGTGCTAAATATAGGACTTTGGTTAAACATTCGATTCTTAAGGATTAGTATAATAAAGATCGCAGGTAAAATCCAGACAAGAGCAGGAATTGTTACTCCGTAGACTCACTTTTGAATGAGGCGATGCCTAAGGGCTGTATAGGGACGAATTGTTGCATGCATCTGATCCAATGAAATACTGCAGTGTTTGTAAGAGAGGTCAGAGGAAACCAGACGAAGAGAAAGCCAGTTGTTAATGCCAGTCCCAGAGTGCGGAAATTGCAAAATGTCGCGTAAGTAGAGTAAGGTTACAAATAGAGAAAAGTGAGAAAATCCTCCGACAAACATATTAACTATGGTCAGGTTTATAACTAGGTACATGGCACGAGTGGGAAGACTGAGGATTTTATAAAAAGAACCATTGATAGGAGGTTCACTGGAATACAGCGAGCCAGGTGATGCGCTAGGATGATATCATGGCTTGTTATTTTTTCGCTTCACACTTTTAATTCCCTTTTTCTCTCTGTTGCTTTTCTACCTCTCAGAAGAATTTGAAAAAAATTTCAATTAAGAACGTGGACGAAGAAGGTTGATGTTAGTTCCGCAAAGATCACTAATGGAGACACATTAGGACGCTGATCGACAGTATCGGTTGCTGGGACAAACGATTGAGTTTTTATTCCGCAAGCGTCTCTGCTGAAACAAAGGAAGTTAAATGGTGTTTTCCTGTTTTGTAAGCTATAAAAGTTATCATATAAAGGGAATTCTTGATTTTAAACAGCGAATGGTCAAGGAACTTTCAGAGGTACTGCTAACAATAAATCATAGTTTTTCTAAGTTGATGCAAATTATACATACACAATTATATGAAAGAACTAAGATCATCGCAGTTATAGTTTAGCAATAGAAAAGGTTTTCCGTATTTGCATAGCCTGATATAAACACGAGAGGGGTTGGGGAAATTCGAGACAGTTATGCAAACCCGAGACGAAGTCGAGGGTTTGCATAACTATCGAGAATTCTCCAAACGCCTCGAGTGTTTATATCAGGCTATGTAAACACAGGAAAAAAGTTTTCTATTGCTTTTATAAAATAAATTTCCCGAGAAAAAACGCAAAACTCTTTGTATGGCACTGATTAAAAGAGAAATTCTTACCAGTCGCAAAGTCTTGTCCACGAAGTCTTGCATGAACGCGTAATCAGTTCTTGTTTTGCAAAAAGATGCTTTCCAAAATACGGACTTTTCGCGTTTAAAATGTCAGCTTAAGCGAAAAAAAAATTGACACTTTCTTTGTAACGATTTTCCAAGTTTCAGCCGACGAAGGAATGAGTAAATAAAGTAAACTTGTCGAGTTTTGAACCTGAAAACTTTTTCAAATTCGTGCTTGCGTGATTTAGCGCGCGAGAAGCAAAACACCTTGACGCCACAACCATGTTCATACTCTCATGATGCAAACACTCCTCTCAGCCAATCAGAGCGCGCTTGCTATCTTAGTTGTTTTACAAACACAACTGCAAAAGGCTTTCTTTTCCCAACTGCAAAAGTTGCGTCTACAACTGCGATGATCTTCTTTCATATAATTCTTCACCCCGCAGTTCTCATATATGATTTTAATATATTTTGATAACTTTATATGTAAATAATTTCACTCGGTTAACGGAACTGAAATTTCTCAAATGAAAATATGAAGAGAGCCTGAATCGCTTTCAGCTCGGCTAATCCCTGTATTTAAACATTGCGAGCATTTATGTGTAGGCATATGTAATGAGAAGCGAGAGAAACATCGCGGTGCTTGAAACAACCCACCATACCCAAAGCCAGCCTTCTCAAAAATCCTATTATAATCGTTTTAGGATATCTTTTAAGATTTTTTTAAAGCTTTGCAAATGCTTTCTAAGAAGCACCATAAGATTTTTCAACTGTT